TTTTTCTTTTAATACATTGACGTGCAATTTTTGCTTGTTTGTGAAAAAATCTCTCGTGGTAATTTCCACAGTAATTACAGTCCACTACTAGTATAGTACTACTGCGGCGTGGGGTCGCCGGCTCAGGCCACCGTGGCGCCATGTGTGACGGCGACCTCTCGGCCCTGCAGACGAGGCTGCCGACGATTGATTGCGTAGCCAGTGCAGCAGCAGACGCAACAGGGCTGCGCACCTGCAGGTGGGCCCCACATAAAACTGGCAGCCTGATGACCTTTGACCGCCGGTCTAACCCTTCACGTACGTATATATACCGTATACTCCGGCCGTATATATACCACAAGAGTACGTATGTATATGTACACCACCAGTATCGTACGTGCTCCGGCCGTATATATACCTCAAGAGAGTTCGCAACATCCGACCGTACGTACGTCACAGATGCAGTACTGATGTGTACGAATTGAACAGCGAATACGTATTGCGCTCTGGGGCGTCTTTCACTCTTTGCGTCTTATACGTATGTCAGTATACGTATATGTACTGTGCCGCCGTATGTGAATGCTGGTTGACAATCGGTCGGCTCCTAAATGGTCTCTTGATTAACGTACAAACTGGAGTACAGATTTTATTAATGTTTAATTACGTGTATACGTACTCTACGGCTCTAGGGTTGACCATGCTGTAATTAGGCTGAGTTAATTATTGTCGATGCTGTCATTAAGCTGGAGCTTTGTTTACCTGTGTCTGGAGTGGAGTTAACTCCACTCCGAAGTTGGATTATGAAATGCGAGAGGATCGATCGGATCCAATTACTCCGAGTAGTACTAGTATATCGGATCGGATCCCGATGTCTAATTGTTTGTAAATAACAGATTGGTGCTCCATACAAGAGATTAAGGCAAGTTATTTACGGGGTCCTTGGGAAAAAAGAGTAACTGAAATACGGAAATACTACTGGGCGAACGATCGATCCCTTCCCTCCCCCCTCCTCCCCCTCCCTCCCTTGTCTTTTTTTTTTGACACCGCATTACTTTCTTATTTTAGTAAATTTATGCACCTAAAGTTTATACACCTCAAGTTTACACATCTAAAATTTAGAGACTAAAAGTTTATAAGTCAAAATTTTATATATCTGATTCAAATTTGAATTTGAATTCAAATATTTTTTATATATAGTATTTCTATACATCTAAAGTTTATAGACCTAAAGTTTATAGACTTAAAGTTTATATATCCGATTCAAATTTGAATTCGAATTCAAATATTTTTCATATACTACCTCCGTCCCATATTACTTGTCGCTTTGAGTTTTTGTGTAATTTTTGATCATCCGTCTTACTCAAAAAAGGGGAGGAGGAAGGGGAGAAGGGAGGGGCCCCCCACTGAAATATGCTATTAGTATTATAATACATTAATTAGTACTCATAGAACTCATATAATTTTCAGTGGAATAAAGTCCAATTTCCAAAAAATAAATTTTCAAAATTTTGTATTTCAACGGAAACATTTTTTTACAAAATGGTGAAGTCGTTACACGAGGGTTAAAATGCATGCTGGCACCCACAAAAATATTATGCATAAACATGTATGTACATTTCCAGTAGTAATTTGTTTTTAAGCATATATTAAAGGCGCACTAGTATTGGTTACGTGCTATGGTGTGCGTTAATGTGCAAAAATAAAAATCTGGGTGCCATACAATTTAGCATCAAACCAAATACAAGTTTCCCAATTAATTTTACTGCAGTTACAAAATTTAAAATTACTAAAGTTTCAGTCGTACAATATCAAACTAAACCAGCAAACCAGAGCCATGAGTGGAGGGAGAGGCCGGAGTACTGCACACGGTGGAGCTCTTTTTTTCTTTTTCTTTTTTCTCCTCTCGCGCGCTGTGTTTCGCGAGAGCTTGACGATTTCATGGCCGGTTTAGCACGTACATGTACGCGTCGCCATCCAAACTAATCAAGTCAAAGGAAAATCGCAATCAAAGATCGTATAGTATTTGAATGCGCACGACAATCATCATCGCAATTTTCTTCAATCGATCGCGAGAACGCCCAAATAATCATATTTGAATACGGAACATAGCATCGATCAATCAAGCGCGATACGTACTCATCCGATCAGGAGTAAAAGTAAATAAATAAATCCTGATTCATGATGATTGGAGTTAAAATTAATTGAGACCTACATGAAAGGAAACAATGTAATTAAATGTGCCGGCCGGCCGCTCAGATCAGATCGAATGACCAAGATATAGGGAACATCACGTGGTGCTAGTACCGTTTGTATGAATAATTTTACGGTACTTGAGATCTACCAATTAATAGATACTAAAAAGATATTAATTTTTTTAGTATTTATTTATATATCTTCTAGTTCTAGAAATACAAAATTTACACTAGAAAATATCATAAGCACTATAAAATCATTCCCGTTGTATACACTAGCCGTTGATAATATTTCAATATATACAAAAAGTACAGATTAAGCTTCTATGACACGTCAGTTAAAAATGAACTACTAGTAGCTAGCGCCTTAAGACTTTACGTGTATGTAAAGTAAGATACATGCAGGAGTATATATTAGCAGTATCAAGTTATGCCTGTCATGCGCCATATACAGGATATATATCCGAGCTATAACATACTCTGATATATAGTTGACTTTTTTAAATATATTTGACTGTTCATCTTATTAAAAAAATTAAAGTAATTATTAATTATTTTTCTACCATTTGATTTATTGTTAAATATATTTTTATGTAGACATATAATTTTACATATTTCACAAAAGTTTTGGAATAAGACGAATGGTTAAACACGTGCTAAAAAGTTAACGGTGTCAGAGGGAGTATAAATTAAAAAACATACACATGTCCTCTTAAACTATATAGTGTGGAATTTAGACGCTATACGTACTTACGACGTTGTATACACACATGTACGTGTATCAATATTGCATGTGTCTGGCTATATAACTTGCAAGTAAGCAGTTGCCACTCCGGCCGTATAACCAATCCTTTGGCTTGCGGTGTATCGGGCTGTAACGTGCCAGTATTACCAACCTATGTTTTGGTCGTCGTCCTGCTTCACGTACCGATTACTATCGATCATCACCAGCCCCTTTCAACTCTCACCATACGCACGCCCACATAATTACTATTGTGACTACTCCCTCGGCCGGTTCCATAATAATTGATATTTTAGACATGGTTGGGGTCAAACTTTTATAACTTTGACCATTAATAACTTTAAAAATATTTAGTTTAAAGAAACTAGAACAACATATATAGATTTGTCTTTCAAAACGCTATAATAAAAGTAAACATGCATTTATTTATTGTATATATTATAATAGAAAAATAAGTTCAAAGATATATTTTTTAGTCCGTGTCATTGTCCAAAACGTTAATTAAAATGAAACCGGAGGATTAACTTGTTAGTGGTAGTAGCAATATTAATTGCATCCTTAACTACTTTTCATTTTAAAAAAAAAGTTATAGATGACACATTGTTGGCTTTTAAATATACGATCTTATTAAAAGAATAGTAGGTATCATTTATTTTGTTATGACTCGATTATCATTAAATTTTATATATGTATGTCTATAACTCGATCCATGCTGTTCACTTCGTTCTAAAATATACTACTCCCTCCATCTATTTTTTATATATAGTTATATTTCCAAATCTGAAAATCTATACAATAGGTATATTTCAATCCAACAATCTATCTTCTTAATGATTTTCTCGGATTTAATGCATGACTCTCTATCCTTCCACACATGATTGGCTATATAGGCTTTGAGAAATGTAAATATTAATAAATCGTTTATTTATGAGGAATGACTAGTAGCATGTTTAAATGGATGATAAGTAGAATTACTTATTATTGGTCTGTGTGCTAAGATGAAATATGACTATCAAAAATAGATGGAGGGAGTACCTTCGTCCCAAAATGTAACAACTTTTAGCTATGAATTTGGACACACAATTGTTTAAATTTATAGTTAAAAATACTTATATTTTGAGTTGGATGGAGTATTTATTTATTGGTCTTACAATCAACTAATCTCATCTGATGGACCCAGCTAGCTAGCTGTAGGCTGTAGCCCTGGTTCAAGCTTCCAACCTGATCACGTGTACTATAGTATAGTACCGATCATTCCACATACATATTTTTATCCTATTAGGAGTATAAACGAAGATGAAAGAAGCTTCCTCAAGATCGAATTGATGGCAATTGGTAAATAATTAAGAAGCATCGACAGTGTATGTACACATGCACGATGGCCACACGGATCAGGATGTGGTTGGCTGGTTTTCATTCGCACTGTATATATATATATATATATATATATATATATATATATATATGCAGCATGTACACGTCAAACACTGAAACATAACTAAGATTATATTAATTTGCCGTGTATAATACTTCCTATTTTACACTATATTTTGTATTCTTGCTGCAGTTACAATCCGACGAAAACTACAACTTATAAGTACAAATTGTAGTGTAACTATTTTTTTTTATTTACTGGAACACGTACTTATATAGAACAGTTTTCTAAAATAAATTCAAAGTTAGAACGTCTAAGCCAACAAACAGATTGGCATTTAAGTTGTTAAATTCTGATCTAATCATTCAAACATTTTTTTTCGAGAGATTAATAAGTTAGTATAGATTAAAAAAAATCAATCGCCTGACAAAAGGATAATATTGCCCATATTTCGCAGGCACATTCGTAGGGGAAAAAAACTAGAAACAGCAATGCGTGTTCAGCCATGAATCCTGCGCACGTTTTTAGAATGAAGATTTTGCGTCCGAACTTTCACTTACGTTTTCCATATATATAGTTAAATTATGTCATTTTGATCAACAGTTGGTACAGTAGTACACTACTCTTCAATTGAAGCTGGGCAAGAGAGAGAATTAAGCAGGTCAAAGTCAACTCATGCAATGCAATGCAAAATGGTGAGTTGATGAGCAACCCTTACCAAGCTAAGGCCACACATGGCCCAACCACTAATCAAAGTCTAGCTAATTAATCCAGCTTACTTAATTAACCTAATTAATCACCCTAGCCTTAATCAAACCAAGCATAAATAGCTAAGCAGCTGGGCGCAAAAGCTAGCTTGCTTGGCCACTGCTCGTCTCTTGTCCACCACGAGATCGACGAACACCATCGATCGCAGCTTCGCGTAGCTTTGATTGGTGCACGTGTTCGAGCTCGAGATGTCCACGTCCATGGCGCGGCGAGGCGGCGGCGGCGGCGGTGGGGGAGGGAGGCATCAGTTCCCGGTGGGGCGGCGGCGGCGGCACGTCCCGGTGGTTGACTCCGGGTGCGGATGCCGGCCGCGGCGGCCGAGGCTGCTCAGCCTCGCGTCGTTCATCTGGCCGTCGTCGATGTCGTCCGCGTGCAAGCAGGCGGCGGCGGCTGCGGTGGCGGTGCCGGCGAGAGTTGGCGGCGGGGGGTCGAAATCGAAATCGTCGCCGTACTACTTCCGGTCGTCGTCCTCCGCCGCGTCGTTCTCCTCCTCCTCGGCCGCCACCACCTACAGCACCGCCAGCTACTACTCCTCCTCCCGCGGCGGCGGCGGCGGCGCCAAGAAGAAGAAACAGGAGGAAGAGCCGCCGTACCTTGCGCCGCCCAAGGGCAAGGCGGCGGCGAAGTCGCCGAGCAGGAGGAAGAAGAAGACGGCGGAGGAGGACGACGGCGGCGGCGGCGTCGGGGTGGCGGTGGAGAAGGAGTCGTCGGACCCGCGCGCCGACTTCCGGGAGAGCATGGTGCAGATGGTGGTGGAGATGGGGCTCTGCCATTGGGACGACCTCCGCTCCATGCTCCGCCGCCTCCTCGCCCTCAACGCCCCCGCCCACCACGCCGCCATCCTCACCGCCTTCGCCGAGGTCTGCGCCCAGCTCGCCGCCCCCTCGCCGCCGCCGCCGCCGTACGGCGGCCATCACCGGCGCAGCTAGCTGATCAGTCAACCATGCATCGGATGCCACGTCATCAGGTGAAGTTACCGGGCGGTGATATGATATGATAGAATCTCTCCAACGGCAAAAGTAATTAAAATGGCTCCTAGTACTACTACTGTACAACAAAAGCTATTTAAAATTTGATGAAAATTTAAGTAAAGTTGGCTGGTACTAGTAGTAGTACAGGTGCTTGATTTAATTTCTGTACTTTATGCAGTTCATGTTGGGTAATTAGTCTCTGTTTAGTACTCGTAGTACGTGTGTTAATCTCGTTTTGTTTAGGAGGTTAATTGGAATAGTTAGTTAGTTAATTGGATGTGTTTGTGTGTGTGTATGGCCTTTGGTTTTGCATGAAGGTCCATAGAGAATTAAGGCAAACAGCTATAGTCAGTTATTGTTACAAGTACGTGCTTTAATTATGTAATTAAATATGTGATTGATCAATGAGGAATTTAATTAGGAGTGTGAATTGGATGTGTTTGTGTCCAGATTAGCCTGTGACACTGTGGGCGCTTCTTGTTTGGCCAAGCTTGTGACACCATCTGTTCTTGTCACGGCTGACGTGTCGTCGTGCACGTCGGTCTCCAGAAGACTGAAAACAAAAAAACATGATCACGTATTCTCAGGTCTCTTCCCTTGTTTGCTTAATTGGTTCATTCTGATGTAAGAAGATATATCTTGTTAAAAATGCTTATCGATCTACAAAGACAACTAGCTTCGAAGATGTAAACTGTTTTAGTTAATTATAAAAAAAAACAAAGACAATTAGTTACCAACTCAGTCATAAATAAACGATGAAATCAATTCGATATGGTTGAAATCTCCCCTGTAATAGAGAAATTTTGATAAAATGAACTATTTTCATGAAACTCTGTAAAATTCTTGCATTCTCAAGATGCCATAATAGTGCAGAAGATAGTCATAACGGATACCTATAATAGAGACATAGAATATGGTCATAGGGGAGGAGATCATGAGGTCGATGGTCAATGACACGTCGATCAGGGGAATGTACGGGGTTGGGTAGGATTAGTAAAACGAGAGCCGATTTGAGCCATTGGATCTCCACCGAAAGACCAAATTCAACTGTATTGGCCTTAATTAGAAAAGGGGCAATTTCTTCCGTGCCACTAGAAAGCTGATGAGGTGTAGAAACAAGAGTTGATATTTGGTAGAAACTCGCTGACGTCGTATCTAGCGCTTAGCGCTAATGGGTAGGATTAGTGTTTAGCGTAATTTTTATAATAAAATAATAAATAAATGTACGAGTTGAATTTTTTAAATATGAGTCGAATATTTAAACTTTAGTGTTGAAAGTTTTAAATTCAAGTTAAAAGTTTTCATAATTTCAGTTGAAAATTTCAAAAATTTAGAGTATTTTAAAATTTTAGTTGAAAGTTTTCATAATTTAGGTTGAAGGTTTCAAAAATTTTGGGTAGAGTATTTTAAATTTTGAAATTGAAAGTTTTAAATATCGATTTGAAAGTTTCAAATTTGAGTTTACAATTTACTCTGTTTTTTAAAAAAATTGAAATAAATCTCTTTTCATGCATCTATTACAAAATTTTACTTTCAAATACAAAATTTAAATTTTGATAACTTTCCATCCCTCCTAGAATAATTAATGTAGAAAAATACCCATGTAGAAAATAAATACCCATACTTACTCCGTCCAAAAATAACTCAGCCTAGGTGAATTGTGCAGATTCCTTGTTTTGTAGAGTTATTTTAGGACGGAGGGAGTAGTTCCTTCGGTCCACAAAGTTCAGCGAGCAGGGGTGCAGGGGCAGCTGCCCGGCTGCACGGACGTGTGCATGGGGCGTGTTGCTGGCACAGTTGCACCAGTTAGTTTTCTCAATTTTGGAAATGCGATATCTATCTATTCCTTGGAATTCATGGTGTTACCAACCTTTGTGGGTTTGCTTGAATCAAAAATAGAATTCGATGAATTTCGAGCGAAAGCGATGAATCTCGAGAGGCCGGTCTCCGTGATTCGACTGGAGTCGCATTTGAACACCTGTTCGAAACTATAAATATTGGGCCCGGCCGACTGTACCATGTCAACAGAGTAGATGCAGCCCATCCATGGCCTGCCCTAGCCCAGCTCAGCATTTCATGTTTCCTCGTCCTTCGACCGATTGGTAGCACAATGTAGTGCTGGGCTGTCATGACGAATCAACATTTCAGGCTCTGAACTGAATTGCATCTATCGATTCGTTTCATTCAACATTTCAACTGAACAAGTGTACCACAATTAATCCTCCTTGCTCTGCGTGCTTTATGTTGAGCAGGCTGGCCATTTTCGGTGTCAAACTTGCTTCAGCGTTGTGTTTTTACCACTCCACAATACCCCAAGAGTAATTTGCGCATTGACTGCAGCCATTTACTAGTCATTAGTAATACTAGCACTTACTCTATGCAGTATGACAGTAAGGAGGAGTACTGTAGTACTTCACATATACAGCATACAATGTGTGTGCATATTTACTTTCGCCTGAGAAAGTTCAGAGCAAATTGTAAGTCTGAAGCTGGAGCCATGTAGGCAGCGCATGCCTGAATTCATGGCTTATGAGTTCATTTATATTCATATCTTAATTCAGCTTATGAGTTCATTTATTTCCTGCATGATTACAACCACTGAGGATTTTATATATATATCTTAACCAGAGAAGTCCAGAGGCAAATTTCTTCAGTTCTGATCATCCTGAAGCGCATGGCATGCCTGAATTGCTGCAATTCATACGACATGAGGGAGCACTATTATATTCAGGGCCATGATCTGATCGATACTGGACTAGTGGTAGGTTTCTGAATTTCAAATTGAAGTTTGAGGTCGACGGTCTTAAATGCAGCGGCAACGAAACCAATGCTGCTGTTGGCGGGCGAATTACGAAATTCAGGTAAAGCATGGATCGATGCATGTCAGCTCTTGAAAGGCTCAAATGACCTAAATCCGATGCACGGCAGAACAGGGCACAGTGCATCTGTAGCCCTCACTCACTCACTCATCAGTAGCAATGCACGGATCGAGTGGTACGCTGCTGAGTCTGAGACATGCAGTGATCGAGATGTGCAGCGAAATTACTCCTCCTGTGCAGTGTCCCTCTTATTTAATCCTAGTACTATATGCAGTCCCAACAGATTCAGATTATTGTTATGGTCCATGGATGATTTTATTGAAGGATAAGGCAAGAATTTTGCCTTATAAGTAATATATTGAGAGAGAAGAAATGGTCCACGGATGATAGACGACACTGCAAGTATATGACCATTATTCAGTGGCGCAAATGAATAAATTAAATAGGAGTGGTAGAAATTAAGTTCATAACTTGGTTTAAAAAAGCTTTCTACCTAATAAACACTAAGGAGAAATTAAGAGGGAGGAAAATTACCCTAGTGTTTGAGTAGTTGAAGGTAAGATGAAGATAAATTTGTGATTGATGGGATAAGTATTATTATAGGATTGCACTTATTTGGGATAATATTTAAATCTAAAGTTGTACTTATTTTGCAACGGAGGTTGGACCTCATTTCATTTCATAGTCCTAGTAGACCCCATATATATATATATATATATAGAATATTTTTATTTCTGTAAAATTTATGTGAAATTTCTTCTCTCAAATCAAAGAAGCCTCCAATTATAGGATCACAGGCTTAACAGTACTAGCAAAAACATTGCAGCAGCTGCACATATACAATAATGTGCTCACTGACTGATCAATAATCACCGGCAAGTCGCAAGGATGATGACTTGTTATCAAGACAACGTCAGTTTCTCGCCAACCAGCTACTAGCTAATTAGCCAGCACTGTACAGTACTCCAGTTTGGTATCATGTCATGTAATGGCCTTTCTACTGTGCACGCAAAATGCAGCAAAGGTACTCCTATTTGGTAGTACTACTACCGTTAACCAATTCAATCATCCATTAATAATAATCTAGTACTCCTCCAATGTGCACATGCATATGCTAGTAGTATGATCTAGTATATATAGGAGTAATATTGCTCTAAATCAGCATCTACTATATTACAAGCAGGTCGGCTGTCTAGGTAGCTTTAGTACTCCATCTCGCATGTCATTACTCGCGTAATCACCGCGGGATTAAGGGCTACTTTGTGTCCAATTGACGCTAACACAGCATCAGTACTAGTTTAGTGCTAACCAATACTCCACTAGTATATATGCATGCCACGACAAAATATGCTAGTACTATAGTTACTCCATCGTAAAAAAAAAAAAACCCTGGGTTTCGTATCCGTTTTATATGAAATTTTTTTATAATTAGTATTTTCATTGTTATTAGATGATAAAATATGATCAATACTTTATGCGTAACTTGTCTTTCTAATTTTTTCAAATAAGACGGACGGTCAAACGTTGGACACGGAAATCCAGGGTTTATCTTTTTTTTTTCACGGGAGGAGTATGCTAGAAGAAATTTCGGCTAGAGATAAATTAGGGGGAAAGTGGAACTAGCTAGTAACTCACTGATCCAATGGTTTGCTTATTACTAATCCAATTAGGCCCTAATCCAATTAGGCCCTGTTCGTTTCTTATGAAAGTGGGAGATAAACTTTTGAATTAAAATGACATGTTTTTTAAATGGTTAAACAGTGTACTTTGTGCGAAAACTTTCTATATGAAAGTTGTTTTAAAATATCAGATTAATCCATTTTTCAAGTTTGTAATAATTAAAACTCAATTAATCACACGTTATTAACACCTCATTTTACGTGAAACACTTAATCTTTATCTTCAGGACATTCAAACACCACCTTAGAGGGAATTTTTCATGGATGATTAATTGATAGATTATGGATAATTGCTTATAGAGAAGAATTAAATGTTATATATGTACTATAAATCCAATTAAGAATATTGAAATAGAAAGTTTTTGAAAAAAATTGTAGTTTGAGAACGGTTGGTACGCATAATTATCCATAAGAAAATAGGTTGATTAATTAGAAATAATGCCCCTTATTCTGATGTATTTATATCTACAGGACAGTTTTTTTTGTACTAGATGCTGGGAATTAAGTGACCAGTTTTTGTACAACAAAAATCAGTTATTGCGATGTACACACATTTCACTCGTTGTATTGGCTAGTTCAATTTTCAGGGATGAATGCATGGTGTGCATTGCAAGTTTAATTTCAACAAGTAAAAACAGGGCAATGTAATAACTAGGCAAAGCACAATTATTATAGTACAAATGTTTGCAAAAAAAGCATCATGATGAATTGCTCCTTAAGTTAGAGACCGTTGAATTGAAAAGTCAAAGCTAGTATCTCATTTTCATAATACAGTATGGAGCTCCCTAATTAATTCTATATGGTACATTGGATCCCTCCAACCTATATATGTGCACCAGGTTGTAAATACTATACTATCAAGACAAAAAAAAACATAAAACCAAACTAAAAAAATTCCAAAAAAAAACGTACATTTTTCAGATCTAATTCCAGGATATCTGCTGGATTAATCACCAAGATCAAATTAATTAGCAGAATTAATCAAGAATTAGCAAATGTACTTGGTGCTAAGCTGCAGCTGCTAGCTCCCAGTGAGATCATCACTCTTGCTTCTTCTTCTTCTTCCTCGAGATCATCGGATGATCCACCGCCGCATGGACATGGCTCCATTGTTGCCGTTGCGGAGGAGGTGGTGATGGTGGTGGTGGTGGTGATGTCGCAGGCGGTGCTCGTGCTGGCGGTGCTGCGGCCGCTGCTGGTCGTCGTCGTCGTCGTTGGAGTGGTGCCGGTGGTTGTTGCGGCGGCGGCGAGGCCGACGAGGAGGTCGACGAAGGCGGCGACGATGAGGGCGTGGTTGTGCTTGCCGTTGACGCGGAGGTACCAGACGAGGAGCTCCTCGAGGGCGTCCCAGCGGCGGAGGCCGTGCGCCGCCACCATCTCCTCCATGGACGATCGGAAGTCGCTGTACGGGTCCTCCGACTCCACCGCCACCGCCACGCTCTCCTCCACCAGCGACGCCGGCGGCTCCGGCAGCTTCTCCTTCTCCTCGTCGTGGAACACTGCCGCCGCTGCCACGGGCTTCGTCTCCGGCACGGCGGCGGCGGCGAGGATGGAGTTGGTCGGCGGGCCGGGGTCGAAGAAGAAGCGGTCGGTGGAGGTGCGGCCGAGGCTGCGGATGACCGCCTCCGACCACTCCTCCGACGCGGTCGTCGTGGAGAAGCTGTCGCCGTCGTCGTCGTCGTCCACCACCCTGCCGTCGTCGTCGTCGAAGCAGGAGTAGCCGTCGGCGGCGGAGTAGTCGAAGTAGACGGAGTTGACCGTCTTGTACATCTCGCCGGCAATCCTTCTCGCGGCAGCCGCCGACGCCGCCGCCGCGGCGCTCGTACTGCAGCCGCCGTCGCGCCTGGATGACACGGTCCGGGGTCTGTTCCCGCATGACGGCCACGGCCACGGCGGCGGTGACGGCGAGGTCGTCGCTGCTGCACCGCCGCCGCGTTCGTCATCGCCGCCGCCGGTGACGACGAGGAGCCTGGAGAAGATGGAGGTGAAGCCCTTCTTCTTGGCCATTGGATCGACGAGACACTGTGGCTGAGCTTGAGCTAGCCTAGCTAGCGAGGTGCATGTGTACGTAGAGAGAGAATGATGGGAGAGAGAGAGAGAAAATGAGATGGAAGCGAGGAGGAAGACGATGGAAGAACATGGATGGGGGGAGGATGGGACCGTGGGTCATGTGCCTGTATTTATCTACTCCTCTGTACCTGAAAGTTATTTCAGGTTTCAGAATTCAGAGATGGCATTTGCAAACGCAGCAGAAACCAACCTTGGCCATGTTCAGTTACTTTTCAAAAAAAAAATTTAAGTATACGAACACACATTTAAAGTATTAAACGTAGACTAATAACAAAATAAATTACAGATTCCGCATGCAAACTGTGAGATGAATCTATTAAGCCTAATTAATCTATCATTAACAAATGTTTACTGTAGCACCACATTGTCAAATCATGGCGTAATTAGGCTCAAAAGATTTGTCTCTCAGTTTACATGCAAACTGTGTAATTGGGTTTTTTTATCCACATTTAATGTTCTGTGCATGTGTCTAAATATTTGATGTGACGGAATTTTTAGAAGTTTGAAGTGAACTAAACACTCTTTTTCTGTGTTTTTCAGAAATTTTTTTGTACTACTAACAAACGGTTGAATTTAATTAATGTCATGGAAACTGTAATTTATTTCATGTTCTAAATGGAGGTTTTTATTTAAGATTTAATTGGGTATGGTTACTGGAATGTGAGAGGTGAGATTTTGGTGAATAATTGAGTTGTTACCACTCCCTCCATTCCACATTATAACTCTGTTCCGGTTATCTTCAAAGTCAAATATTTTCAAGATTTATTAAGTTTGTAAAATTATAGCAACCGTTTCAACAGAAAGCAAATTCTCCCTCTAATATTTTTATAAGGTACTGGTTAGTTCAATAACCAGCGTCATATATTAAGGGACGGAAGAAGTATAATAAAAAAGTTTTATATTCAACTGTGGATTTATTAGTAGTAATCTAGTGTTATAGTTGTTGCTAAATTTATAAATTTTTCTATAAGCTTAGTGAAACTTTAAAAAAATTACTGTATTATAACATAAAACATGGGGAATAACTGTAGCGAAGAATTCACATCTTGTAATTATTGTAATTAAGTAAAGTTGATGAGCAATGTACAGTACTTGCGCATGCATTGGATTGAATTGCATGCGAATCTAAGGTTTTGTACTTTTGTTCACTGCTGCTTTTGTACCTAACTGGAGTGGCCTGAACAGTGATCGATTGATCCAGGACACAAAACAATGGAGATATTACTCATTACTGTATCATTCATCCGCCTACCTGCAACTGGTTGGTGAGGGCAGTAAATATTTTGCCTAGTACTAGTAGATAGATAGATAGATCACAAATTCACGATCTACCTATGAACTGGGCTGCTAGATGACAGATCGAAGGAGGCCTAGCAAGCTTGTGCTAAAATGGAAAAATGAAATGAACAATTGCTGGATGTTTCAGTCCTTGCACGCACTCCTCCCATATTCAGTTTCAGCAATTTGGCATTTCTGAATTTGGAGGTTTGACTTAACATTCAGTTTATTTAGATATTACCATATTGAATATTGATTTCTTTTCTGACTTCGGCCGAGTTTTAGTTCCAAATTTTTTTCTTCAAACTTTCAACTTTTCCATCACATCAAAATTTTCCTACACACATAAAAACTTAATGTTCTGTGCAAATAGCGTTTATATGAGTGTCACGTGACAGCTTAATAGCGTTTCTACAAAGTTTAAGGGACTTATATACTAAAAGTTAATTAAACTTCCAATAAATACTACACACATAAAAACTTCCAACTTTTCCATCACATCAAAATTTTCCTACACACATAAAAACTTCCAACTTTTCCATCATATCATTTCAATTTCATCCAAACTTCCAATTTTAACGTGAACTAAACGTACCCTTCGATATGTTGTGGCCGTTTAGTTGGATGGTTATTTATGTTAGTAATTTCCTGTGGGCTAGTGGATGGAAAGAGTAGTCCTTTTATAGATCAGATCGGTAGTAATGGTTGGGTGCAATTACCCCAACGGCTAGCGGTAGGATTGCATTTATGGGTGAATTGAAAGAGTACTCCTACTTGCCTGTGAAATCTCATCTTACCGACCACTCACTCATGCATGATGCTAACCCAAGTACATTGTATCCGTATTTTTTAGATATTGGGTAATTAAGTACTTCCTTATATAAATTCACTGCACGTATATTTGATACCTTTGCTTTGCTCCATGCATAAACTCTTGCAAGATTATTTTTTCTTGTCGATCTGAGATCTTTGATTTGCAGTGTTGTGTGATAACCCTCTCCTTTCCCTTTCCTCTATATCTGAAGTGTGAGAACGTCATGCGTGCGCTAGATTGGCTTGCATTCAGAAGCATTTTTTAAAAAAGAAAGTAATATTTTAGAGTGGAGAGAAATTGAGAATGAGGACGGTTCATTTATTGGTCATTGTTTTATATGTAAATGACAACAACTATAAGATTTATAGGTGAGTTCGGGGGTGTAAATTGAATTAAAAGAAAACTGATTCCGCTCGGATGTTTGATGCGAGGGAATTTGTCGGACACTATGCACCTCCTATATTTCCCCGACAAATGCAGAGACCGACAAGCATCGCACGCGTAATGCACTTCTCTACCCAGCAGGTTGCCTCTTTTAGACCTATCATTGCCTTCGTCACGGCCATCATCATTGACATCCTCCTGATCCAAGATGTCTTGGAGGAGAGGCAGGTAGATGTTGCGACGGACATAGATCTATCAAGGTTAGCATCAGAGGTGGCACGTCGAGAAAGACGGTGCTTATCTACTGCATGTGAGATAATGCCTTAAGGAGTGACAGATAAGGATCGACCAGCATTTCATAGCCCTCTGCATCATAGTTGTTGTTCTGTTTCGCGCTTCCACCATTAGATCAATAGATGAAGATGACAGATTCAACCACTAAAATAGAGGAAGAAGGCAGATCTAGAATGATAGGTTATTGTTGAATATTTTTTGATGATTTTGTTGCAATCCTTTGTTTATCTTGTTTTGATTTTATTGTATTCGAGTTTTTCTACTAGACTCCCTGTTACGTTGATCGAATGTTGTACTTGCAAATCACACATAACACATTGACACGAGCCATCTTGTCAAAGGCACACCGTTTCCAAGTTGCTCGACAATATATTTTTTTTCCTTGATGCTGCAATCATTAATTTTGAATGTTTACATCTTACACGATTAGTTGATCACTAACTTGTAGTCCTATTCCTAACATTTAGTTCAGATTTGAGAGGTTGCATGCATGATCTGTGCTGGAAACTTGTCGATCTCTCGATCAAATCCTAGTTAGTAGTACTACATTTGGTTTGCAATTTGGCTGGTTGACTGATGACCAGGTCGATCGGATAACGCGTTAATTCCACCACCAGCTAGCCGGTTGCTCGCCCTAATTAACTTGATTAATTTGTCCTAGTTAATTATATTCCATCTCCAAAAATGATACTCTAGTCGTCGTCAACCTATTAATTTTTCGATCTCCCCAACCGAGATAGGCAGGAGAATCGATCATATTGCAACGAAACATACATATATACATGCAGAATTTATAATTAATTAGTTAATCAGGCAACCACAATTTATCATGCATGCAAATTAATATGAAATGGAGCAAATCATGGATGATCTCGTGGTGTCTCCTCAGCACCCAACACCCAATTGCAAACTGGCTGCAGGTTAGGTTAAATTCGGCACCGCGATCGTATTGTACGTGCAGTGCCGTTGGCACGTGAACACACGTGTACGAAGTATATTTATCCACGTACGTTACCACCCTCCATTCATGTATGCCATTCCGCAAGTTTGGAAAATATGTAATGGAAACCATGTACTCCCCCCGTTTCGAAATGTTTGACGCCGTTGACTTTTTAGCATATATTTGACCGTTCGTCTTATTCAAAAAAATTAAGTAATTATTAATTCTTTTCCTATCATTTGATTCATTGTTAAATATATTTTTATGTAGGCATATGATTTTACATATTTCACAAAAGTTTTTAAATAAGACGAACGGTCAAACATGTGCTAAAAAGTCAACGGTGTCAAACATTTCGAAATGGAGGGAGTATGTAGTAGAAACTTGAAAACTACCGTTGGATCGAAGAATGAAAGTACGTTTAAGATTCGTCCACGTCATGATCACTCATGAGTAAAATTTTTACTCGTGATGATGTAGACGAATCTCGGATATTCATTTTTTATCCAACGGTAGTTCTCAGGTTTTTACTACATATGTGGTTTTCACCATATATTTTCACCCGCAAGTTTAGTGTAGCTCAATTAATTGTCCATCCGTTTTATATTATAAGTCGTTTTAACTTTTTTCTTAGATAAAATTTTTTAAGTTTGACCAAATTAATAAATGAAACATAGTAACTTAGTTTTACAATAGGAAACAAAACATATTATCAAAATATTCAATGTTACATCTAATAAAAACTAATTTGGTGTTATAGATGTTAAATTTTTCTACAAACTTGGTTAAAGCTAAAAAAGTTTGACTGAAATAAAAAATTAAAATGACTTGTAATATGAAATAGAGGTAGTACTAATATCTTTGATTTTAAATACTACCACGTCCTAAAATATAGTAACTCTTTTCAGCAACAAATCTAAAAAAAAAGTTATATGCTGAACATATTTATTGTTTTGTGAATTATATCTGCTTTAGTACTAAAACAAGAGTCCAGGTTAATTAGATACAGCTTGTTATAACCGAAAGACGATCAGTCGTCGCACATAACGAGAGCACGTAAAAAGGTCAAAGAAAAGATGTTTCATTGTTCCATTCTTGCTGAAAAAAACAACCTATGTACGGTGACAAAAGACCAAAGCTTCCGGTAGCTAACACTACTGCTGCAGAAGCTGTTTTTTTTTTTTTTGAAATTGCTGCAGAAGCTGTTACTATTGTGCCAAGAACTTGTTGCTTTCTGCTCCCTGTAGTGATATCTTGTCCTTATAGGAATCATCGCCGTTCTTCCCCCTGTTGCTTTGTCGAGAAGCAGCAGCCAAGACTATACCGACGACTTTCGATAAAAACTATGTTTAAATTGATGGTCTATATATTATAACACTATATTCTAAAT